TTGACCATTATTTATGAAAGTTTGACTTGATCATGTCCACTGATGAGATGAATCTAATGGTGTAGAATTATTCTTATTTCTTTCATTGTGTTTCATTCTCATTCGAGCGCACTTCTATATATATAATATATATATATATATATATAGAGAAGGGATCATATGAGAATGAGAAATAGTGAAGGAAATAAGAATAAATATGGACCATTTGATCAACCATGTCAATGAACATCATGAAATCAAAATTAAATAACAGTGGTCGAACCTGGAATGGCAATATTTTAAATAAGTAACTATGTCATGGTCATTTAAATAAATCAAAGGGCAATTGAGTAATTCAACCCACCGAACATAGTGGACCCCACCTGTATTAAATCACATCATTACTTATCTCCCTCCCTCACACCCCCGTCACTCTCTCTCTCTCTCTCTCTCTCTCTCTCTCTCATACAAACACACACACTCACAACCACAGACAACACGACCACTCTCAGCCTGCGTCGCCGGTCATCCTTCGATCGTGCCACCTGCCATCCTCTGCATCTACCGCCGGCCATCCTCCTCCTCCAATGCGGTCGCTGTCACCATCGGATACATTTTTCTCCTCCGACAACAAGCACCGTGCCTCCACCTCCGGTCGCGGGCGACGGCGGCGGCTCCCAGACCTTCCTCCATTCAACCCCCGCCGCCATCGAGATCAGGATCATCGTCTTGTTCTGGCTCGAAAAAAAGCGTCAATCTCGTCAAACCTTCCTCCATCCACCTCCGATCGTCGGCGATGGCGGCGACGTCCCCCAAGGCACCATTGGGCGGATTTCGTCAGACAATGCCGATGAGAACGGGCAGCGGCGGCAAGGCCGTACACAACCTTCGTCCTTTTGCAGTGCGGCGGCGGTGGCGGCAATGCCGGTGGAGAAGGCGCATGAACAGTGATGCTTTTATTTATTTTATTTTTTTCCTTATGCAGACCGTGATGATAATTTGATGAATTATAATATTGGCAATTTATTTCTTAGGATCCTATTGGCAATTTCATAAATTATAATTATTAATGAAATTTATATTATATTACAAGTAGCTCTATAGGTCAAATGTATAATTACTCAAAAGATAATTATTATTTTAATATTGTGTATTTTATAATATATTAAAAGTAAAGAAATAAAATCAAACCGACATATAAAAATTTAACTTAAAAAATTTAGCCGATCAGTTTCATTCGATAATGTGCAAGACAATAGCTAATATGTGCTCCTTCGATACATAAACATTTTAAAAAACAATAATAATATTTTTGCATATTGTTCGGTCAGTTCGATTATTTAAGTTATTTTTAAAAGTGAAACCGACATCGAACTGAAATAACCGTGATTTGAAAGTAAAAACAACTAATCGAACCGACAATGTGCAATATGATAGTCATGAAAGTGCAATTCGTATAACACCATTGTGCAATTGATAGCATATTTTTTTAATAGTTTGGACCAAACCAAACTATAACTAATTTAATTGATTGGGTTATTCGATCGATTCACCAAACTAATCTAAATAACTATATAATTTATTATAATTATGTAGTTTGACGATAAAGTGCAACGAGTTGTTTTATAAAGTGCGACATGTTGTATTACAAAGTACAATATTCCGCTATGTAAAGTGCATTAATTTATAATTTCTAAATAAAATATATGTATAAAATAACTAGTTTTAATAGATATAATTGCACATCGAAATTAACCTAAACAACTAAATTATCTTTTTATTCATTATTTTATAATATATAAAGTGCAACGAGTTGTTTTATAAAGTGCGGCATGTTGACTTACAAAGTGCAATATTCCGCTATATAAAATGCATTAATTTATAACCAAATAACTAGTTTTAATAGATATAATTGCACATCGAAATTAACCTAAACAATTAAATTATTTTTTTATTTATTATTTTAATATATATAAAGTGCAGCGAATTGTTTTATAAGGTGCGACATGTTGTCTTACAAAGTGCAATATTCTGCTATATAAAGTGCAATAATTTATAATTTTCTATATACAATATGTGTATTAAATAACTAGTTGGTAATAGATATGATTGCACATCGAAATTAACCTAAAAAATTAAATTATCTTTTTATTTATTATTTTTATTATATAATTTATTTATTATTATTAATTAATTTTACATTATTTTAATATTTTATATTTTTTTAATAATAATATATTTGTCATTTAATATTATGAATAACAAAATATATAAAAATTATTTTTTTATTAACTTTCAATAATTATAGATTTGACCCATGGATTAAATTGAAATATAACCAAAGTTACTAAAATTGCAAAGAAGTCCCTATATATAATCTAATTCTCACAACAATGGCCCAATTTCACATATTAATTGCAGATCTTCAAATTGGTCGTATCTCCACCTATCACGCCGACGGCGGCGTAGCTTGAGATACAGGAAGGACGTGAGCGGCGACGGCGGCGGTGAGGCGCGAGCGACAGAGGGCGACGCGACAGGATTCCGGCGAAAGTCGAGGCGGCGGTGAGGCGCGAGAGACGCTGTCGACGGTGACGACTAGC